TGCTCAAAAAGAAAAACTCTCTTTGAAATTACCTGATGAGAGTGTTGACTTTCTTGGTCTGAATGTCATACATCTTCTTAACAGCATCCTTGATCTTCTTCTTGTCAGCACGAATGTCAACAATGAAGACAAGAGTGTTGTTGTCTTCAATCTTCTTCATTGCAGATTCAGTGGTGAGTGGGTACTTGAGGATTTGGTAATGATCCAACTTGTTCCTTGGAGGAGCACTGATTCTTGGGTACTTAGGATCTCTGGCCTTGGTCAATGTCTTTGGCCTGTGGAAGGTAACCTTAGTCCTTATCTTCTTGGACTTCTTCTTGAAGTTTTGGCCAGATTTCACTGCCTTTGCAGCCTTCAATGCCTTGGCCTTAGGATCGGCCTTCTTAGTAGTATCAACTGCATAATAACACACAGAGAGAGAGTTTGAGAAACTTAGAACATAACCTTAAGAGCAACTGATCACTTTCTCAACCCTAAGAATAATCCATAGCTCAAATTTATTTTGATACATAGATTCAATCTACAGTTCAAAATGGATACTCAAAAACCTGAGGATTTAACAACACTTGCAGGACAATTATGTTCCTAAGTGAGACGAAGTTAAACTAACAAGGAAGATTGGAAACTAAAGTACCAAAACTAATAGAAGCAGGAGATTCATATACAGTACAGATTCAACAAGACACGAATGGAATCTGTTTTATCAATGGAAAAAAAGTCCGTACCTTTAGCCGGAGACATTGCTCAGAACGATTCGAAAAATCTGTCGAAAAAAAGCAATCACGAAATGTAACAACGTACGAAAGCGACTGATGAGGAACGATGAAGAGAGACAGAGGAAGAGGCACAAACCTGGAGAGGTTGAAGCAGCTTTGAGCTCACCTTGCAGCCGCAGACACTTTTATTGTGAAAGTCACGAGAATGATAAAAGAAAGACGAAACCCTAGATTTATTGGGCCTTTGACAACTATAATGGGCCTTTAATTGTAACGACAACGTAAAGCCCAAATCACTTCAAAATTACTCTACAAATACACATATTTAAGTAGAATAACAAGTCCGGTTTGGATCGAATTTACAAAAAATTCATAT